GTTCCATCAGCCTTGTGTTTCACTGTGAACACCCACTTGCACCCCACTGGTTCCTTCCCTTCAGGAAGGTCTACCAACTCCCAAGTACCATTTTTGTGTAAGGCATCAATTTCTTCCTACATTGCATGACAACGCTTCTGCCACAGTCTTAGGAACGGGGACACTATCTATAGAAGAAAGGCACGATACGAAGGCGAAACATGCTCATAGGACACAAARTTAGAGATAGGATGATTAGTGGTACAATATCTAACACCCTTTCTCTTAGCAATAGGAATATTAAGATCATTGGTGACAGGGGAATCAACATTTAAAGGAGCAGATATACCTGGTTGATGAGACGGATCTGCCTCGGGTGAATTCGATGATGTTGGTTGCATAGTGTCCGGCTCCACGGCTCTTGAACTCTACTGGCTCTTATGGCGACGATGAAAAACTCGGAATGGAGGAGGATCGGGTAAAGGAGGTAGTTGAATTTGATTCGTCACCTGTTTCTCCTCAACCCTCTCTCCCCCTGAGGAGAAATCGAGAAAAACGGTTGACTCTCAAAGAATGAGACATCAATGGAAACATAGTACGTGCGGGCAATGGGATCATAACAATGATACCCCTTTTGAGATAAAGGGTAACCAAGAAAAACACAAGGAATAGCCCGAGGATCAAGCTTACCACGAGTAGGGGACAGGTTATGGACAAAACAACGACACCCAAAAACACGCATCGGAATGGACAGCGGGGCTGTAGGGAACAAGAGCTGATGTGGGGCCTTATACTCTAGTAGCCGAGAGGGCATGCGATTGATGATATATGTCGCACACAAGACTGCATCCATCCATAACTGTTTTGGCACATTCATATCAATCAGCAAGCCACGAGCAACTTCGAGAAGGTGACGGCTTTTCCGTTCAGCCACACCATTTTGTTGTGGTGTCCTGGCACAAGAGCTTCGCTGAAGTGACCCACTCGAAGCAAAGAACTTCGTGAGATCACTATGGAAATATTCCTTGGCATTGTTCGACTGGAAGATATGGATTTCCGTTTGGAATTGAGTGAACACCATGC